CATTTTGTGACGTTTCATCGTTGCTGACGCGTAGTGAAGTGTTTTGAGAGTCATGTGAAGGCAACAGAACTTACGTAACGCATACGTTTTTTTTTATAGTTTTTCATTTCTCGATGCGTCCTTAAAGTGTCGGAATATACCGCGTTTACCCTATAATAAAATGCCAAAGTGGCAGTGCCATACCCAATTACCCATAGGTAGTGGCAATTGGCAAAGCCAAGAGTTTTTAGACTCTCCTTCAAGTTCAAGTCCTAACTCCTAGCCTATAAGTAGACCAGAAAAGTGTTTCTGGTCTTTTTGAGGATGCCTAATGGTAGCCTCAAAAGGGCTGCCATAAGGCAGTCACATTTCCCCCATTATGGGGTGGTGCCCCCATTTGCAAACTATGACAGTAATGACACTTTCCTCAAGTTTGTCATTTGCATATGTAACTTGAAGAGTTCTACTACAATGCACCAAAACCTGGAGTTATTTTACCAAAAAATATAATTGATTTTACCACCTGGTCTAAGATACCCCAAGAGCTGGGGTAACAAAGACCATCACTTCTTTTGAAATTACATAAAGACTATGAGAGGCAGGAGCCATCAATTTATGGTGAGTGAAGCTGGAGTATAGACCTGTATTTTGCATGTTTCAATTAAAGTTTAACTTAGCTAGTAAAAAAAGGCATCATTTATAAAAAAAGTGGTCCAAGTTATCCCATTTTACGATTCATTTCTACAAAATGTGGGATGCACGTCCTGATTTACCCAGCCCGTCCCTTTTTACCCCGTTTGACAGTATTCACTAAGGCTGTTGAAGTAGAAAATCAAGCCTAAAAGGCCCCATACACCATAGAGTCCGACTCGCGAGTCTAGCCCGGCTAACCTCAAAAACCCCCCAAACATGGCGCCAAATGAGCTGAGGTGGGCAAAAGAAGGCGAGCCGAGCCAGGGCTTCCACTGCTTGCTGTGAGCCTGTGGGGCTCGGCTCGAGTTCAGTTGCTATGCAGACGTCAATCTGATAGGATGTATGCAGCGATGGCGGACTCCAGGCTATTCATGAGCCCCAACTTTTTAACAAAAACAAAGTTCATAGAAGACTACCGCAAACTGCCGTGCCTTTGGAAAGTTCGTTGCTCAGAATATTCCAACATATCAAAAAGAGAAAAGGCATGGAACATCTTGTTAGAATTACGTGGAAAAAGTAGTAAATGCAGACCTTAAATTTCCTAAGAAAAAAAGTGGATAATATTCGAGCATCTTTCAGGAAATAATTGAGAAAGATTCGCGAGAGCACGCGATGTGATGCGTCATCAGATGATACATACACCCCAACTTTGTGGTGATATTATGGTGGAGAACTTTAGGTCTTCAAACGACCGTCCGGGGGCTATAAAACGTAGAGTAGGAATTACCCGTTCCTCTGCTGTTATAGCTTTCCGAAGTACAGTGTCTCGTTTAGCTGTGAAGGGTTTGACTTTGTCCAATAGGACATTGAAGTTTTCTGCAGACATCCTTAGTTTAGATAGTCGTTTTGGCTATCGTCGCAAATGAAATTTAGCAAATTTATATGGCTGAATCTTTGTCGATTGACAAGCCATTCTTTCGACCACATAGATCGTTTCCTCCGCTGCTTTTTCACTCCCCCGAGTTCACTCAAAACGATGGCAGCAGCGGCAACTTGCCTCGGATCTTCACGACTGGACACTGCGAGCAAAGTATCGGTACGTAGGTGTATGGAGAAATACCGCCAGATCAGATCCGATAGTCGGAATTAATATTTGTCGTATTGAAAAATTCTACTATCATAAAAGTTGCACACAAGTGTTGGCTTAAAAACGTGATTGACAGAATTTGCATATCTCATTATAAGAAAAAATGGTGGCCATTTCTGCAAAATGGGGTAATAAGGGATACCCCCCCTGGGGTAATAAGGGACAACCCTAAAATTGCATTTACAGTAGAACCTTGGTTAGCAAAGGCTCCAGTTAATGAAAAAATAATTAACAACAAAGAATTTTAATTACATTTACCTTGCTCAGTGAAACAAATTTCACTTAATAAAAAATTACCTACTGCATCAGTAATCACAAAATTGTCCATAGAATGTCACAGATAGAATTGAGCAATGAGCAACAAAGAATGAAAAGTAATTAGCCTAAACTATGATTTATTTCTCCAAAAAATATTCCTTCCTGCTTCAGGTATGTTTGTTACAATCTTTTTTTTTATAGTGAAATCACTTGACTCGATTAAAATTGTGCGAAATTACAAACCATCCTGTAAGCTTACAGATACAGAAGAAATGCTACATGGCTGCTGATATGAAGCTTTCTGTGGACAAGGTTGTTGTCAATGCTCAATTGCATGTCCATGGATACAGTAATATTACATTAATAATACGGTACGGTACCGTAATGGATGGATAAGGTAATATTATATCAATGAAGAAAATTCAAGTAAAAATCACAGAAAATTTCATTTATTCTACAGTTACATCATCTACAAAGGAAGAGGAGGACTTCAGAGTAGTACTGTTAGTAATAGATGAGTACACTCTGCATGCTTCAAATGTTTAAAATTGAGTTTTATTTCAAGTGTTCCTTTTTACCCCATTTCCAGATTAATTCAGGAGCCTTTTATATTGTGTCTAGCACCTTACAAATAGCATATGAAATTTTTCTGGCGATGCCATACGATACGCAGCCCTTGCAAAGACCTTTAAAATGAGCCCAAACTTGTTTATGAAATGTTTCATGGTAAGAAGTTATTAACAAAAAACGCTCAAAACCTTCCCTTTTTACCCCATTTGATGGTACTACTGTTTTTTATTATTGCTGCTCTATTCATACCTGGAAAAGATTTAGCTATTGAGCCATAGCTTAAGCTTTGTGCAATTTTTGGAACTGCAATATTCCTGCTGGATGAATTATATACCCTTGTATGTGATTGTTATTAAATGTAGGTATGCAATTCCTTTGTGTGGGATAATTTCATCTATTATCGTTACCGGTACCTTTCTTTAATTTATTTCATAAAAGGTAAACCAAAGTGCATTTTAACCAGCAATTTTAAAAAATCACCTATGAAATGATATTTGAAGACATCATTTCACCAATAGAATGACATTTTAAAGGGTTCTGAGAGTGGGTGAATTTCTAAATATCTTTGGCAACCCTTTGGCATCAAAATCTAGGTCTTCAGAAGATCATGCCTACACATTTGTTGGTACCGTCAACTGAAGTGACTTCGGCTGCCGGGGTGACTTTGGCCAACGTTTATGATTTTGTTTTGCGGCCATCTGGTTCTGTTGTAGTTGTGTTATGTGATTGGAACAAAATGGTATCCAATGTAGTTTTTTTCTTATCTATTGATTGGAAACTGTTTTGTTTAAATAATTTTATATCCTGCTTGACCAACACAATCTGAATGCCACAGTACTGTAAAGAAAAAAAACTGAGTGCAAACTTCAATATTTTGAGATACGAAAAGAATTTTGGAATCAGCCGTGTTTTACTTATTTTGGTATCTTGTATAATGATTATATCAATGGCTATACGTTTTTTACCAAATGTAATATATATGCTTGAAAAATTAGCTGGCCAAAGTCACCCCATAGTATATGGGCTAAATGGGGTGACTTTGGCCAGCCAATAAATGTTTAGAATAACAGATTTTTCTTCTTTTTTTCAGACAAAATGCACAGCTATAAACGTAAATCAGATTCTGTGCCATATAGGATATATTATGAGGAGTCATTTAAGAAAGCATTGCAATTGATAAAAGATGGTGTTAGCTTAAGAGAAGCTGCTAATATTTGCAAAGTCCCTTGTTGAACTTTGAGCGACCGATGTGCTAGCCGTCATGTGAAAAATTTAGGACAGTCTACTCTTTCACCTACAGAGGAGTCGACTTTAGTACCATATCCTACATTATTCTGCTTTCAGACTGGGGTTTCCCATTAGATGGTATGGATCTGCGTTTTTTGGTTAAAAATTACCTTGACTATTTTTTTTAAATTACATCAAAACTATGAGAGGCAGGAGCCAGCAATTTATGGTGAGTGAAGCTAGAGTATAGACCTGTATTTTGCATGTTTAAATTTAAGTTTAACTTATCTAGTAAAAAAATGGCATCATTTAAAAAAAAAGTGGTCTAAGTTACCCCAGTTTACGGTATTTAAAAATTTGCAATCACCAGCAATGCCTCATTCCTATTTTGTAGGAATTTGATCAGCAGAAACTAGTGTAATTTGGCCAAAGTCACCCCCAGTTGACGGTACCTACGGTAGATGTACTACTGCATTACCTGGTATTTTTAATGAAAATATTTTTATATTTTTAAAATATTTTTTAATTAAAAATTAATTTCTTTAATATTTTTTTTGCTGCCATAGACCTTAGCAGAGGTACTTTTTGTAAATCTCACATTTCACACTTTATTTTCAGGGATTTTTTAGAGGTAACCTACGGTAGTATACGGTAAATGTATGATTTCTTAACTTGCTTTATGCTACCTACATAGATGGCATAAAAGTTGAACTATATGCCACTATTTTTAGTTTTGCAATATTTTGATTAGTTTTGCTGCTACAACATTTCTACAAATGTGGGATGACTGGCCCAATTTACCCCATTTGACAGTAGGCATTGTTGATCTCTGCACTGTGAGCTTTTATCTTTTTAGCGCATTTTCTTGTATATATGAAAAACATGCACTATTGTGCTTGCCATGTCAGTCCGTCTGTCCATGACTTCATGTTTTTGTCGACAAGAAAATGCGCTCTCTGTCACTCATTGCAGTGAGTACCTACTGAATTATATTTTTTTTTCTTTTATTCTGCCTAATGTTCCTGATTGGACTTGGGGGAAGCACAATATTTTCAAATAAGGCCAAAAATGGCTTCATATATACCAGTATACGTAATGTAGGCATCTAACTATTTTAACCAAAGTGCTAATTAGTAGTACCGGTAAGCCTTAACTAATTTATTGTTTTATTTATTTAATTTGTATATGTTTTTATATTTTTTCCAATCTACAGGTTTCCAGTTTGGCTATTGATGATCTGCTGGTTGGAAAATATTTTCTGATAATTCAGTGCCAAAATAGCAACTGCTCTCTGCAGCCAACATTGGAGGTGCGGCTTCTGTGGCTGCTCCACTCTCAGGAGTGGCATTTCAATACACTATGTCGCACTGTGACCAGTGCTCAGCCAAGTTCACCATACTCAAGAGAAAGGTTAGTCTAGATGCAATACGTACAATATAAATCTATTGAGAGATCAGGTCTAAATCTGAACTTGTGTTAAGTCTAAATTTTAAAATGTTTATACTTTTTTCACAGGTAAAAAAATCAACGTAGCGAAAGGGCATGCATAAAATGAATGATAAAATATAACAGGAATGGGAGAGTGCACACCACTTTGAGGTTGTTTCTATAGAATACCTGCAAATCTGGTAGGACACTTAGGTCGATTTTTTTGGGGGCTTTTGGCAAAACCAAAATTTCAATTTAGAGACCCTTATTACTATGGGGGGTGTCTAAATTCTTTACCTACTTCCTAATTTTGAATTCATTTTCAATTACTATAATTTTGAAGAATTTCCTCCTATAGTATGGTAGGTACCTTAGTTTAGGTTGTATGTTTTAAATTGGTTCGTATAATTTTTGTGTAATTTCTCAACAGTTATGTTGGGCTGGGCTCATTGGTCTTTAAGGTTGGCAAACCTCTAATGATATTGCTACCAAGCTAAATTTCAGGAACTTGGTCTTGTTTCTAATTTCTTAATGAGTCTGCTTTTCCAGTATTGAATCAGTCATCTTTGGGATCAAATTAATATAAAGTTAAATTCGTTTCATGTCTTTGTGTTAAGCTGTCATGACCGTTTTGTTGACAGCATCAGTGCGACGCATGTCAACTGTGCTACTGCAGCGACTGCCTGACGCGGGTGCCAACCCTGCCATCCCCGCAACAGGCTAGCTCTTCTTCGTCCCAGTTCCAGACGCAGGCTGGCAGCTTCGTCGCGGGCTTCAACAATTTTGCTAACAGCTTAATAAACGGTATGTGCCAATTCTCTCTTCAAATAGTTATGCTTATCATTGTAGGAAACTGCATGTAAAATCGGTTCAGTGATACTCGTCCAGATTGTATTTAGCTTTGAATTAAGTCGTGTATGTCTCGGCATCCATGAAACTTAACAAAAATTAAATTGAATCCTACATGTTGAGAATTGCTTGGAGCCTTAAATTAAAGCATGCATGTAAAATTTCATCCATGTGCTATGTGTACAATGAATGTAGCTGCTGACTCAATTGCAACCCTTTGCCAAATGCAGTTATTCCGAGATGTTTAATGAATTCGGTAATATTTGAATAATGTTTTGACAATTTCCATAAATAGCTGTATATATACCTACTGAATGTGTTCGTCATGTAAATGCTTGATGATGGTCGCGAATAATTTTAGCAGATTTTTATTTTTACTGATGTCTACAAAGATTGAAACACTCACCTCTACTGATTGTTTGTCTTGCCACTGCTGGACGACTGCAAAGAGTAACTGGAATGAATTAATTTACTTGTGAATTTTTACAACCGGCACAAACTTCTGTAGTAGGTAGTACACTTATTCAATTCCCTCTCGACTCCCGTACGGCAACTAATAACTCGGGAGACTTTATTTGCTTCAGGAACGATGAGCAATTTCAAGAAACTGCTGTACTCAATATACATTGGCTCTACACGCAGTAACATTACCTTTGCTACGCCCCTGTTCAGGCAGCGCCAGCAGTAACATTACCTCTCCTACGCCCCTGTTCAGGCAGCGCCAGCAGTAACATTACTCTTCCTACGCCCCTGTTCAGGCAGCGCCAGCAGTAACATTACCTCTCCTACGCCCCTGTTCAGGCAGCGCCAGTAGCAACATTACCTCTTGTACGCCCCTGTTCAGGCAGCGTCAGTAGCAACACAAACGTACGCCGCAACTGCCACAAGTGCAGCGTGTTCCTGCAGTGGCCTGTGAACGTGGCGGCCGTGTCGGCGCTCAGAGTAAAGGACCTGCGCTTCTACCTCAGCAGGCATCACATCAACGCCTCCACCTGCACTGGTTTGTTCGCAATCTATATGGTAATATTATTCGATTTAAGTCAAGCTCATTTTATAGTGCGTGAATTTGAATTTTAGTTGATTAGTATACGGTATCCTGAATAATTGTCGATTTATGAAATGGTTTGAGAGAAATTGAAATTATTTTCCTGTATGATGTTGTTTTTATCATGGGTTGTTGAAAGAAGGCTCACTGTTGTGACTGTTGTGTGTTGTTGACACTCACTGTTGTGTGACACTTATTGATTCCTATATTTTGAATTTGGTTATCCATCACTAAATTCATTGTCAAATTCTGTCACCCTGCAGAAAAAAGCGAAATGACTGCCCTTGTGGTGAACCAGTTAAAGAGGTACCGCATGCAGCAGCAACAGGAACATCAACAACGACAATCAACTTCCTCCAGCAGCGGTTTCCAGTCTTCTGGGACACAGAACGCGAACGCACCAAGCTTCATGGCGAGTCAATCGTACTCCCGACACACAAACCAGCCTTTCCATAGAACCCCTGACCTCATAACCACGTCAAGTAGTAGTACCATAAGAGATGATGGCATCCGCGTGCAGGGCATGAGTGCTGGTGAATGCTATAATTGCGACAGTGATAGCATTCGAGTGTTTGCGTCGTCTAATCTGACCACTAGTAATGTTAGTCCGTCCAATTCCGTAGAAGATGATGGATTCGTAGTTGTTGGTCACAATGATTTACCTCCTAGTAATGTTAGTTCTGTTCCCCATCTTAGCGATATATATTCCACAAATTGTGATACTATTGTTGATAGTAATTTGAGTAGAAACCTAGACAACGATACCTCTCGCAACACCGACCCTGCCGTGTCTTTTACAACTCGTGATCAGTCTTTGGATGCTGGCAACGGTGCTGCTCAGTCCAGTGTCGGCAACAGTGCGTCTCAGTCAAGTGCTGGAAACAGTGCGTCTCAGTCAAGTGCTGGAAACAGTGCGTCTCAGTCAAGTACTAGAAACAGTGCTGCTCCATCCAATACTGGAAACGTTCACGACACACAGCCCCTCGTAGACGACATTGATGATAGCGACACTAGAAGAGAGGGTTCGAGCTCTCCAAATGTTCCACCAGTCGCCGCTGCTGCGGCAGCGAACTCGTCGCCCGGCACCGACACCAGCAATGCTGTTCCCTGCGGCACAGGCACGCGCGCGAACGTGGTGAGTGCGAGTTAATGTATGAGTTTTTTTGGACTTGGATGCTTTGGAATTTTTGTTTGTGTGTTGAGAGACGATTGAAAAGAAGAAAAGTGGAAGATTTTTCAGAATGATACGGATGAAATATCGAGTATTTTTTGATTATTTTTTTAAATGCAAGCGTGTGTCAAATTTAATGGATAAATTCATTCGAAAGAGGAAGCTTATTTGTCATTTAATATCTAAGATGAAACGACATGGCTGCTTTTTTTGGATCTTGTCACTCTTGATTTAAATTAGATTTAATCTGATGAATGTTAACTTACGGAAAAAAACACTTGTTCCTTATTATGTCGTATTGCGAACGATTACGAATATGTACATCTTGCTGAACAATTATTCATACCGGTAATTCGTTGTTCAAGTAGGTTCTATTTTTTATTGCATATACATACGGCTGAGCGAAAGTCATTTAAATTTAAACCTAGTAATATCGAGGGCCAATGTACCTTGCAAGTATAACATGCAAGTTTTACAGCGATTTACGTGTTGCGCAACGTATTTTTGTCGAGGTCATCGGCATTTAACTTGAAGCTATCGAAGTCGGATGAAATAGAATCAAGGTTTAGAGGGTACGTTCCACGTGGAGGTCACTCGTTTTGTCACAAAGTTTATAGGTTAAATGTGAAGGCATTAACTGGCATTATTTTTAACCAAACATGTTTGAATGAAGGGCTCTACCCTAAATATATTAATGTGAAGTGTAAATTATTCAAGTCTCTTTGGTGGCAGAGTGAGGTTGACTACATCAAGCTGGAAGACCTAGCTGACGAGGCAAGCGTACGGGCGCTGTCTGTGCGCCAGTGTCGCGTGCTGCTNTCTCTGATTCTATCCACAAACTGCCATCATTTCTGAGACGTAAGTTTGTTCAAAATTACCTGATCTATACCCTATGCTGTCAATAATGCCTCCGAAAATTGCCGGCATTTCGAGACGTAAGTACCGGTACCATGTTCAACATTAACTAATGTATACCCTATGCTGTAAATAATATATAACCCCGTGGGCAGCCGTGGAGGAGCTACCAGACCGCCTGCTGTGCAAGTATTTTTTACATTAACTAATCTATACCCTACGCTGTCAATAATCCATCCAGAAATTACCATCATTTCGAGACGTAAGTACTTTTAATATTAACTAATGTACCTATACCTGATGCTGTCAATAATATATAACCCCTTGGGCAGCCGTGGAGGAGCTACCAGAAAGCCTGCTGTGCAAATATTTTTAACATTAACTAATCTGTTTTTAACATTTAACATTAACTAATGTATACCCTGTGCTGTCAATAATAATATATAACCCCTTGGGCAGCCGTGGAGGAGCTACCAGACCGCCTGCTGTGCAAGATCTGCATGGAGGCAGCCATTGACTGCGTGCTGCTGGAGTGCAGCCACATGGTCTGCTGCACCGACTGCGGCAGGCAGCTCTCTGAGTGTCCCATATGTCGGCAGTTCGTCGTGCGCTGCGTCCATACATTCCTAGCGTGACCCTTCCTAGCGTGACCCTTCCTAGCGTGACCTCGTCCTAGCGTGACCTCGTCCTAGCGTGACTCATTCCTAGCGTGACCCTTCCTAGCGTGACTCATTCCTAGCGTGACCCTTCCTAGCGTGACTCATTCCTAGCATGACCCTTCCTAGCGTGACCCTTTCTAGCGTGACGCCTTCCTAGCCTGAACTCGTCCTAGCGTGACCCTTCCTAGCGTGACCTCTCCTAGCGTGACCTCTCCTAGCGTGACCCATCCAAGCTTGACCACCTCCTAGCGTGACCCTTCCTAGCTTGACCACCTCCTAGCGTGACCTCGTCCTAGCGTGACGCCTTCCTAGCCTGACCTCGTCCTAGCGTGACCCTTCCTAGCGTGACCCTTCCTAGCGTGACCCTTCCTAGCGTGACCTCTCCTAGCGTGACCCTTCCTAGCGTGACCCCTCCTGGCGTGACCCCTCCTAGCGTGACCCCCTCCACCCTCCCAGCCATCTGTCTTCTTTTTCTTTTTTAAATTCTATCTCTCCGACATCCCTTGTTTTTTTTCATATCTTTGCACGTCTATGTTCTTGAAATTGTCAGTTCTAGTATGTTCTTACATTTTTTAGTTGAAACCTTAGGTCTCTCTTTCTTCTCAAATTCTTTCGCTTCTTTGTCTCTTGGCTCTTTTCTTTATTTTTAGCAATATGTTCTTTAAATTTTCGGTTCCTTCCCCTTCAAATATCATGTTACGCATCGTTTTTTTGCTTTAAATTTAACTTTGTACAATCCGTTGCAAATTTCATTGGATCGAGCTGTGCGAGTGGATTACTAGTTATTTCTCACGTTCTACACGTCCCGTAACATTTTTTTCCCACTTGATTTGTTAATAATTTTTGAGCTCCTTTTGTGGGTTTTGGGTGACAGAGAACGAAAAGTTTAAATTCTCAATCTTCATTTATTTACGTACGACCCCAAGTTCGTTCATTTAGTAATCGGATCCGTTCATCTTGTCTTGCAGTGAACATTTAATTTCTGTTTCCTTATTTTAGGTTTTGGCTTTTACATTTCACCGTTCAAATGTATGGATTTTTCACTTCTATCTTTTCAAAATGAACCGAAGTTTGTTTTCAATCTTAATGTTTGGGACTTTCCACCTTGCTGACGATGTTTTAATTTTACACCTCCTCTGCTCAATAGCTTGATGGCTTAAACCATTCTATTACTACCTGCTTTTTGTTAATTGCTCCTCAGTGCCATTTATACTGTTATATTTTTTCCCCTTGCTGGAAATTGTGTACTCGTTTGCATTAATATTAAGAAATCTGCGCTATCGTGACATTAAGAAATCTACGCTATCGTGGCTTACGGCTCACGCATTGTACTCGTACTGTCATTCAAGAGGGTGATGTTGGTACAACACTGTAGTTTGTTTATAGTTCTCTGTAACAAATTATATTTAACCGTACTATTGTGAGATGAAAAAAAACATCATTGAAATAGCATGAATAATTGTCATTCATGCTATTACGTTACTAAGAGGTACATAGTATCGATCTTATATGACGTCTTGATCCGAGTTTGGTCGTATCTATTCAATAAAGTTTCTACTTTACTTTATCATTCATGACTTTTTAAAGTAAAGATGAGCCGCAGTTTGCTCGTATGGTAATACTGGAAATTCCGAACTTCACATTAAGAACTTTAAAATTTTCCTATGAAGTTTTAGATTTTAACTCTAAGCAGTTATGAACTTTATCCAATGAAGAAATGAACTTCATCTTCGAAAGTTAGGTTATACATGTAAACTACTGAATTTTTATGCACTTCCTATGACTTAACTTGGTTATCACGCAGGATTGATTGAATGTGGATAAATGATGAAGTTAATTGATTTTGATCCGCAGCTTAATGATGTACATTGTGATATTATGTGTTTGGGAAGTGATTCGACCGTAATAAAAAATTAGAATATGATTCTGGCTTATATTAAATAAATTGAATATTCATGTGTGCACCCATCAGTTATCAATTAATATGTACCTATGCTTTAATTTTTCATGTTGTGATTATAGAAAATAATTGAGACGCACTCGCGTGCTTGTTGTAATGACGCAATAAACGACATAGGTTTTGATAATTATGAATAATTTTGTATCCGTGTATAATATGAATTATTAGTTTGGGAAAGGTTGGTTCCTGAAATGTAACCGGTCACATTATTTAGGCAGACCTTCTGGAATCCTATTGCTGATCAGACTAGTTTATCTGTCGTCCCTTGGCTTATTTTATAAAGTCATTTTTATCGCTCAAATATTATTTATATTTTAGTCGGTGATGCGAAGTTTATTCCATTTAACGCCGCGTTCCATTTCGTTGTATGCGTTTCGAAAAATATTCTGATAATGATTGTGTTGAAATGATTTGAATTAGGTACATACCCCCTATTATTGTAAGATATTGATTGAGTAAAAGTATTTATCAATGGACTAAGAATTTAAATCTTGATAATAACGCCTATGGTTTAATTGAAGAAATTGCAGATGATGTCATCCACTGTCGAGAAACAAGCACGATGCTGGAGCGCCATTCTAAGGGTAAATATCGTCTTGCGATGCGCTATGTTAATTTTAGACTAATTTCATGTAAGAAATTGATAAAACATATATCGATAATATCAAATAAATGCTCTTCTCTACGTCCGTGTTCACCATTTTATTTCAAACTCCGACAATATTGTAGCCTTAAATATGGCCGATCACTCTTAATGTGATCACTCTTAATGTTAATTAATAATATGGCCGACACTCTTAAAGCTGCCGCTGTTCATTTGAAGTTAAAATTTAACATCCACATTATTAGGAATAATGTTCATTTATTACTTTATTTTCTTTGGAGCTTTTCTGAATTAAATAAATACGTAAACCGTCAAGCAAAGAAGTCCATTTAGATCCTGAATGGGAACTGTGTGTTTTGTATGCAGTCGTATACACTGCAACTATAGATGAATGTCAAAATATGCCTATGTATGATACAATGAATAACCATTTATAACACCGTTGAATACATTTGCATGCACCAATGATCTTACGAAGCAGGTTTAAGCATTTGAAAGCGACTTGTGTGAACATCAGTTGCCGTAGCATGGGCTCTTTGCTTGATGAAGGAATTACTTAATATGAACTTCTTTTATTACAGGCATTAATTGCAATGGTCCTGGATTATAATGAAATTAATAAACGTTTTTTATGCCTTACCGTAACAATACCCCTGATGAAATTGTAAACATTTGCATTCAAATTGATAGATTGCGTGTTACGGGATCTAGATCAGGGCTGAGGCGATCATACAATAACCTGTGATATCGTTCTATGAAATTCCGAGTAATTTTGCTCAATAATTTCGCTTATAACTCATTTTATTGGATTATGGTTATTTCTGCCATCATTTTTCACGATTTCTCGTTCGATTTTTTTCTCCTCATTAGTGAGATCTTCGTGAGTACGTAGTGTGTGAGAGCTTCGTGAGTAGTGTGTGAGGAGATCTTCGTGAGTAGGTAGTGAGTGAGATCTACGTGAGTAATGTGTGTGAGTGAGATCTTCGTGAGTAGTGTGTGAGTGAGATCTTCGTGAGTAGTGTGTGAGTGAGATCTTCCTGAGTAGTTAGTGAGTGAGTGTGATCTCTGTGGGAGTACTTCCATTGTTAAATTATAGATAATTAACATCTTATGATCAAACAACGTCCATCACAGTTTTTTTTATTAATATTCCTACCCTTTGCTCTGCTTCAATTTTAAGTCACGAGATACAATGAACTTAGGTTAGAAGCTGGCAGGCCCATGAAAACCTTCTCTCCAACATTAAACTAAGCCCGCAGAAACCCTCGATAATTAAACTTATGTCCTCTTTTAGTTACTGAAGTAAATTAATGGCAGCAAACGCCGCTCGCTTAATACTATTGTGAAAAACATTCGTGACACTTGTTTATAACAGAGACAGGATCTCACAGTATGAACCTTCTAGTAACGGTATGAACCTTCTAGTAACGGTACGAACCTTCTATAACGGTATGAACCTTCTAGTAACGGTACGAACCTTCTAGTAACGGTACGAACCTTCTAGTAACGGTATGAACCTTCTAGTAACGGTATGAACCTTCTAGTAACGGTATGAACCTGAGCTCATGCAAGCTACTATGATTCGAGCAATGTCAAGTGCGCTGGAAGTGTACGTTATGTAAACGATTGTTTCGATTTTGGTGGTAAACTATTTCAAAGTTGCTGAAATCAGTTAAGTTACTGACCTACACCAACCTCCTAGCATTGTAATAACTAAACAAAAGCCTGTGATTGCATACTCAATATATTACAAGATGATCTTATAACGGTCTTAACTTGGATTGTACAATGTACATGTTTTATATCTAGCCCCCAACGGTGACCATATTACGAACCTCAGCAGACTCAGATTCTGTTTCGACTTTACGCTGATGTTCAATGCAATGCTGTTTGGCAACCGCGTCGAAAATTCTCGAAATCAGAGCTTGTTCTTAAGGTGAACACCTTATTATTTTATATGAATTTTAGCCGAGTGATATTAATACTACACTGAAACCCTAAGTTATCTCGATTACGTTTTCTTCTGTTGCGGTGTTTTTATTTTTTTCCTTTATAATATGATTCATATGTTACACCCATTCCGCTTCGTTTTTCGATATATTCTTTGGGCTCTATTTTTTGTATTAATTATTGCAAGCTCCATGCCGCTTGTAAATGCTTACCAACAATGCCACATTCTGTTTTTCAATAAGTCTGCAGCATAGTGATGTCAAAAATTAAGATTTTTATTATTCTCCTGCAGCCGATGACATATGCTTTTTTCCAACTTGAATTCATTTCAAGATGGTTTACTCATATGTGGCAAATTTTCTCTTATTCCCTATGCAATATTTCTCCATTTTATCTTCCCCTTGTTAATAAACAGTGGGTGTGTATGAATTTAAATGTATTTTGAGGCGAGCTTCATCGTCATTAAACTTGAACTCACTTGAAATGCTAAATGAAATTTGCAGTAAAAAGACATAGATGAATGTTATAATTTACATTTTTAATAAAGCGTAGACATAATTATAAAATTGATTTTTAAATACTTGATTTATGCAACAATTTTGCGGAACAAAAAATGTTCTAAAGGTCCCATTATGATCCTAATGCTCGAATAATGGATAGGCTTCACAGGTGTCTAGCCCATTTTTAGCGCATTTTCTCATTTATGGAGAAAAAACCACTATTATGCTCGCCTTGTCCGTCCGTACGTCTGTCTGTCCGTCTGTTCGTGACTTCACGTTTTCGTCGACGAGAAAATGCTATCTGTCACTCACTGCAATGAGTACTGAGTTATATTTATTTATTCTATGAAGTTTCATGATTTACACCTCTTCTTGCCACGTATATACGTATATCTTTCTTTGCCATCTAACCTATAATATAGTACTATTTACAGATCTATTTAGACCAAACTTTATTGGAATGTGCGAATGAATTCTCTTGCTTTATGAGTCGAGCGCAATCTCTCTTGCGTTTTGATGTTGAAGAAAGCACATTGGCATTTAATTTTGATGTTGAAGAAAGCACATAGACATTTAATTTTGATGTTAGAGAAAGTACATAGTCAGTGCCCTACTTATGGCTCACTGTCCAAGGCTCTGAAAGAAGTGCTAGCGAAATTCACCCAACAACCGTAGTGCGGTGACCTAGAGAAGCAGCCGATAAATTTTATCCTACAATTTTAGCCGTTCAAATTTTGAACGGCTTTTTCACGTCCGTAGGACGTGAATCTGAATTGTGCCTACGCAAAATTGAACGTGTTAAATTTGGCTTATTTTCTTGAGAAGAAGTTAGGAAACGATGTTTCAGCATTCGTTTGTAAGATTATTTTTACGCTTTCCTTGTGAATACTTACTATGCACATTTTAGTTTCATGTATCTAATTCCATATTATGGTTTAGTCTAAGCGATTATCATGTAATTGAGAATGACATATTCGTGCATTCCATAGTTGCATGCACGTTATTGATAAGTGAGATTAGGTATTTTGGTTTTGCGATTGCATTGTTGATTTACACGTGCATAAGCGGAATGTAAATTGAACGAAAATTTATGTCAAGTGTGCGCTGTTTTATGCCGGATCAAAATATACCGCAATAAATGCTTTCTATTTTCAACGAAATCGAATTTACTCATTATTTCCTATATCAAATGTCAATATTAGGCGGAATAAATCGTGTGGGATGCCAAGTTGTTTTAATCTCAACATATTTACCATTTTATTTATCACTTTTCACTATAAGTAATCACGGTACGCTATTAATTGTAAACTACCGCACTACTTCTTACCTTGAAGAATATCAGACCTACTCACATATACGCAATGTTCAACTCAACATGTACGCAGCAGATGAGTAATGTTCAACTCAACATGTAAGCAGCAGATGAGTAATGTTCAACTCAACATGTACGCAGCAGTTGAGTAATGTTCAACTCAACATGTACGCAGCAGTTGAGTAATGTTCAACTCAACATGTACGCAGCAGAGGCTCGAGTCAGGAATTAGCCGTTAGCTCCAGATATTTCCTGTAGTAAAATCTTCCAAACTCCTGATATTCCATGTAGTAAAATTTTCCTGGTTTCTGACATTCCCTGTAAAGGTTTCTGAACTTCTGATTCTCTTAGTAGTAAAATTTTCTAAGATCCTGATATTCACTGTAAAGTGGAACCAAGCTATAGCGGAGTCGATGTTAAATGAAGAAATGTCATTTAAAATTAACTATAATCCCAACTCTCCTATGTATTGCATGATCCTTTAACCTTTCGTCAAGGGATTGCATTTACCGTCATCAATACTATTCGTACCTAATGGCTTGGGGACCAGAGGTTCCGTCAGTAAAGGGTTAAATGGCAGGACAACTTTCGGTTTTCGATGAATGTTAAAAAGTAGCAACGACGAAAATATTGTGCAGCTTTGGTAGCGAAACGACGACGTTAATCTTTAAAAATTTTTAAATCCATATTAATGCAGACATTTTTAAGTTTAATTCACACAAACATCAGGATATTGCTTCTTCGTCGGAAACAACTCGAAAGATGTAACAGCAAGTATCTTTAACGGCACACTAATAAATAGCAGATAATGTGATACACAACATGAACAATACGGCCATTACGGTACGGTACTTCCCTTTTGTTGGGTCCGTGCATTGCAAACTGAATAAATGTTGAAACACTGACAAAACATGAACACAGTTAACTATTTTTAGACATGTAGTACTAACTAAAATTAATTAGGTAAATACCATTTTTCAGGTACACTAAAAACTAGAATAAGGTGGATGGACATCGAGATTTTAACGACATTCAATGAATACCGTCACTAATTCGATTTTTATTACTAAGAGGATTTTTTTTTGTTTTAAGTAAACCTGATTAATTTACCAATCTAAAATGACATTTTATTGGTAAATCAAAATCATCAAAATGTCTTAATGTCATTTTCCAGTCTTTGGAAAAAGACATTAAGAACCTGCAGAAAAATTTGCTCGTTGATGTAAATTATGCTTTTTATTAAAAATGCGGAAATTTTTCGAGTAGAAAGGAATTACAAATTAAAATGTAAGAAATTCTGTGGTTCGACCATTGAATGAATTAATGTATTTCTAACAGAAGTTTGACCGAGAAGTCCAGTGAAAAATAACTCTTTATTTTTCAGTTAATACTACACAACATATTACTTTACACGCTGGTGTTCTTACCGTAAACATTCTACTCGTCATCTTACATCACAGCACAGATCTATTAAAGCTTAAATAATACAGTCTCGGTATTTTATGAAATTACAAAGTATTATAGTTATTATATTAGTATAATTTATAAAATATCTATAATTATGGGGATCATTCATTTTGATCAACAATCCCTGTCACGTATCTCTAGCTGTTCCATACGTTAAATACAAGACGGACATATTTTCAACCGGTCCGGTACCTACAGTGAACGGATTTTACTGCCGATCTCCATAGTGGGAAATATATGCTCTTCAAACAGCAAACGGAGCTTTCCTGTCGCTCTCGCAGACGTGAGATTTGCAGCTTGGAAATTATAACGTCTCTAATTCTTTGTAAAACAACGCGAATGAAAAACGAAATTTAAAATTTATACGTCACGACGTGACTTGAGAGCGGCGAGATTTAAGAAATAATGTTTTCCGTTCTGAGACTCAAAGCACGCAATTTGTAAAATTAAAAAATTAAAATGTTAAACAAAAATAAAATATGAACTTTATGTTACATATGGCAGACTAGCGGCCTTTGGTCGAATACCTGCAAAATTAAAAAAATACCTGCAGAAAAGTACATAGTTGGAGCGTCACCGATATATGCTTGACGAACCTCAAAATATATATACATAAATATATATTAATTTAAATATACAGTCTCAATGAATTGTAATGTCAATGAAATTAAAACTCTCACGAAAGTCCACTGTTACCCTTAACTTTTAATACCACGAATTTAATCTTTTAAAGACGAATACTAACGAATTTCTCTGATAACCTTGTTTCAATTGCGCACACTGCCCTTGACAGATGTAAACCGTAGTCGATGGCGTTAGAAAGACATAAAAATTTAAGTAATTTTAATGTAATAATATTCTCATTGATTATTACCTGTGGCTTTTACTCATGTTAAGATTGTCATTTGCAGCGTAAAAGAATTTTAAATAGATGCAACCCTTGATTCGCTTAGTCTTAAAGTGCCTGTACACGGGTAGAATATTGGCCGATAGTATTAGCGGCTAATGTTTTCTCGCCCTTGTTCTACCGGCAAGGAAGAATAGACACAAAGCCGGTATAATGAAAATAATTACTTATTTTACCCGCTAGTACTTATTTGAAGCCGACGAGAGAAGTCTGCACTCGGCGAACGAATGTCGATCCTTCGATGAAGCAGAATATATGAATTTAGTTGAATAGCATAATATTGAGTTTAATTTAATTCGTTTAAGGTTGTTACTCGACCAGAGGATGCGAAAACTTTTGTCAATTAACTTAAAGTCATAGAGAAAGACTAGGTAGGACGGAGAAATATCTTGTAAACAACATCGACATGTTTTCGTGAACTTGCAGAGCAGAACAGATCACACCACGGCTGATTCAGCCCTCCTATATAGCTGCTTATCGGAGCATAAAACACAAATTTTTTTCATTTCATGCGTGCACCGCTGCCCGCTACTCGGCACTGAGGCTGAAGCAGATAGTAAGGGGCTTTATGGACTAGTTTCCAGTGCACATATAAGAATAAATAAGAAATAAGAAAGAAGCAGCTAGTACTCCACACACAAGGAAAGTAACTCGAGAATTACAATCGGCTAACATTATCTGCTAAGATTAGATCAATTATTATCGGCTGATATACTATATACGTATTGCTACAGATCTAATAACCGCTAATATTATCCCTGTGGACAGGCACCTTCTTTCGTATTTGCTCTACAAAATCTCGATAAATGAAAAATATTTTACGTCAATATTATTTCCGGACACTCCGGAGTGTCCGGAATATTTTTTCTCAGATATTATCGCTATCATTAGAGCTAGTATATGATAACATCACATCATAAACCGAACTACATTACATATACAGAACCTGAGTCTGTGCGGACTCTGAACTACAGTTTATTAACGTTTAAAGGAAAGATTCTTCTGTAATGACTAAGGATACATCACATCGATTATTATTTAAAGGTTCAGATCTGATCAAGCCAACGGCTTCGATTGAATCAAGAACATCGTAGCTACTGCGTGAACCCATGGGATTTACTCTATTTTCTCCATGTTTCACTGAGGCACTCGTCCCGTTTAATGACGATTTTGAGGAGTGAACTTTATCTTCGCAAAATTCTGCATTGATTTTTATAGGTTTGGTTTTTTCTTGGAGTAGTTCTTCATTTTCAGAATACTCACTGGAGTCGCATGAATCAATCATTGGTATTTCAACGTCTCCGAACAAATCCAATAACTCGAGGTCTCCAACACCCAAACTGTACTGTTGAAAAGAATTCTCGGCCAGTTTACTGCTTTTAGTATTTTGTCTTACGTTAGCATCATTCATGTTCTCGGCGTTTGCTATTTCGCAATCACAGAAAATGTTCAGTTCCTGATGCGGCTCGGCAATTACGTTTGGCTGAGGCTCTGGAGAAGATGAACAAGTTGATGTTTGGGAGCAGGGCACAGAAAGCGATTGCGGGCTCAAACTTGGCTCATATGAAACAACTGACAAAAAAGATACCGGCTTTCCATGAACGTTGTTAGAGTCGTTTTTCTTCTGTTGAGACTCGGGCGTGGGCTTCTGGCTACACGCGAGCCTAAGTTTTTCTTCATCGGTCAGCTGAGGATGTGGCCGGGATCGCGATAGTTTATCATCCCCTCCGGCAGCGCAGTCGTTATCCGAGGGAAGAAACCTGAGGGTAGTTGAGCTCTAAAAAATTATTCCGCTATGATATCCTACTTCAATATCATATAGAAAATTATCTACAGCTATCCCCGGCAACCGCTCATAATCATCAGTTTTGAGTTATCAGTACTGCGATGTCACTCATTAAGATACACCAGCTTCAGTTTCCCCACCAACAATTGCTCTCCTCGGCAACTGCTCATAATCATCAGTTTGAAGTTATCAGTAATGCGATGTCACTCATTAATATACACCAGCTTCAGTTTCTCCAATAACAATTGCTCTCATCGGCAACTGCTCATGATCATAAGTTTTGAGTTATCAGTACTGCGATGTCACTCATGAATATACATCAGCTTCAATTTCCCCAATATTCCTCCAGTTCGCACTCTAAAAAAATTTTGTTTGTATACCTGGTAGATACAGAAGAAATGTCTTCTACGAGTGATGGTTGTGGGGTAGAGATGGGACCAGGAGAAGATCTTCCTCCTGAAGAAATGCCGTTATTGTGGCACTGCGAAGGACATGACCCACGATGTTGCTTGTGCACATCGCACATTGTCACCTGTGCAATACAATAATATTATTAATTTTCCGTAATTTTTAAATGTCAAATCTTGTGTTTGAAAATATAGATAAATAATAGCATCGTGTATCTTGGTTGACTTATCGTTAGGCTTCAGCTGACCGTTTAAGACATCCACAATTCACTGATTGATTATAAATCGTCGTCTAGTTAACAACTATAACTTTACTAAGGAACTGACAAGTAACCGATAACAAAACTCTAACCTGGCGTTGTTCGTATAATTTGCAATTGAAAACACGATCCCAAGCACTGCCAAATCATTCATATGTTGTCACTCAAACAGATTCACTTAGTGTAATCTTTTCAATCAACAATTTTTCCACTTTGTGGTTATAACACATAGTCAGTGACTGATAAGTAATACTTACTAGTCCCTGATCCGCCATTTTCAGGAAAATTCTACTTCACATATCTAAAATTCTACTTTAGGGCTTGAAATTGTTATACACATATTATAAAATGCACTAAATTAAAAAATAAATCACATGGGTTGAAGTTGAACTTCTGTGATTGTGTCCTGGGGAGGTAGTGAGGTGGTGGATGGTGTTGTTGAATGATGAAACTCCGCTCCGATACCTGCACGGAATGAAGATGGCTTTAAACTGGGTGTACTGTTTGAAAACATGATTCTTTTTGTTTAAAAATATTATTTAATTTTTTAATCCATCATCAAAACATGAAGATGCGTTCATTGTACCATAGAAGTTACCATCACAGACGCATTTAATCATGTGACAAACCTGTTTCCTTCGTGTTATAAAAACGTTGTTTTCATCAATTTTTTTCATATATATCTCAAAACGTTTTTTTTTCAATGAGTGATTTGGTTTAAATTCGCACCGAGCTTCGAAAGAACACTTGCTTCCAAGTCATGTCAGAATAATGGAAGTAAATCTCGATTTATCAGGAATTCTCCGCTTTCACGTCCCACGTTTCCAAATTTTAACTCATGACAAATTCTCTGAACGAAATTGACTAAATTTTACTTCATTCTTGTTCACGCACAAAATTTCTGAATTTTCGTTACTCTTGAAACACTTTCAGCTTGAAACACTTACAGCTTGAAACTCTTACAGCTTGAAACACTTACAGCTTGAAACACTTACAGCTTGAAACACTTACAGCTTGAAACACTTACAGCTTGAAACACTTACAGCTTGAAACACTTACAGTACCTCTTGGCAGCGTCGGCGCAAATGCCGTACTTCTCGAGCAGCAGGACGAAGTCGCGGCGGTACTGCCTGGTGAGGATGGCGTACAGGTAAGGATTGGCGCACGAGTTCAGAGGGTAGAAAAATACCAGCAAAATCTTGGCTCTGGTCACGTCTATCAGAGGCCATCCCGCCACCGCCGTCAGACTGCAATACAATAATTAGTACAATACATTAATTAAGTCCAATACATTAATTGCCTTCAACTCAGAATTTAGCCTAAGATGTGAATGGGAAATTGTCCAATTGTTTTTGATCCTAGCAGTCGGTATATAAGAATAAACATTCATGGGAATGCGTTAGATACATGAAAAAAGTATAGCCATAAGTTACTATTTTTCATCAACAATCTAAAAAGAAATACTTTATATGTTTAACTCGCCCAAAGAATGCAATGGGAGCCCAGCACGCGAAGTCGGTAAAAACCAGCAACGCCATGCGCTTGGCGACCTTCAGGTCAGATCTGGCCGTGGTAGGATTATGGCCCCGAATGGAGAAGTACATCAACATGTAGCAGCCGCTGTATTGAAGTTAAGCCTTCATTAATACGTGGAGATTGAGAAGTACACCAACATGTAGCAGTCGATGTATTAAAGTTGAAACACTAGCTTTATTGGAAGCTAAATTCTCATTAATGTATGAAAAGCACCGCGAGTAACCAATTTATCCATATTTCGTCATTCTAAGGTTTCAATTAATCACTTATCTGATGGGTATTCAAACAAGAAAATTTCAACAGGCAGGGTGAGTTAGTACGAGGCTCGATGATTCCAACGTTCTAAGCTTTCAACTATATATAAGCACCAATAAAGTGGGGAATAAAACTATTGAATATCTACGAGAAGAGTGTTAGTCTCAAGCCTTACCACCCACCATATTGAGATGAAGGCGAGGCCGTTGATGAGCAACAGTGCTATGAGGTACCCGATTGCTGTCGCGCTACTCGCATCCATGGGTAAGCATATGCTGCAAAAAAATGAATGTATTTAAAAATACGTGCTTGACTTATGTTATGAGAACTTTGATCATGAGGTATCATTGGTAAATATTTACACGTTATGGAGAATGGGGAATAGATATTGTAGGTACAAGGAAGAAAAAATTTGTCCCTTAGTTTGGTATAGAGAAGCTCCATGTGCCTAACAAAGCTTTATTGACAGTGTATTATAGTAAGCTGAAAATTTTCCCACTACTTTAAATTAGACCGCTAAGATAAAGGGTGACCAACTAGAACTTGGGCGTTACATTTTTGGCGGCCGGCAGTTAAGCTGCTGGTCCCGACTGGCGTTATATTAGTTCCTCTCTTGTTGGATTTTAACTCTAACGCCACGGATAGAGGTACGAGATAAGGCGCTAGATCCCCGTGGTTGGAGTTAAAATCCTATAAGAGAGGAATCAGTACACCGGTTGGGATCAGCAGCTTACCTAACGGCTTAGCGCAAGTAGAAGGGAAATTTTCAGCCTACTATATTACAGACAATTTTTTACCGGTTCAGATATAATTCTTAAGTTTTAGTTTGTTGAAATTTCTCATATTTCCCCTTTATACTTCATGATCAAATTTCATTCCGTTCTGTGTCGAGGGGAGCATCATCCTGTACACACAGTTTTTCACGAATTTCGACTCCACTCTCGCAGTGAAATGAGTTGCAAATTTCATAAGAGACGTTGACAGTTTGCGCTAATTAACCGGTTGTCCTGGACTTGCAGATGTTGATGAATTTGTTGTTATCGTAGGTGGGAAATTTCAGGCGTTCTGTTCCACGCAATATCTATGGAATTAAATTATGCGTCTAATGCTCTTCATTTCCCAGCAACGTATTATACTTGCTATGCATGTTCCTCTTCATTGGAGAACCGGTCTAAATTGTGTTGCAATGTCCCTGTGTTTTTGTTAAATACATCTCATCTTTTGTTTCCAGTTATGCTATAAAGCCTCACAAAAGTGAAAGAACTTAGTTAAAAAGTTAATGGGAGTTATTACTAAGATCCACTGGATGCATCGACTGATATCTCGTAACCATGTATAAGTAAAATCCTAGTATTTTACATCCTAAAGTACAATTTTTCACCATTGTGTCATGCGAGGCACCCTTTGATTGGTTCATATGGTTAAACTGATCCATTTAAAACAATGTGTTTTGAAGCATAAGATGTTTTCTCTCGGTTACACTCCCATGATCTTAGTTAGAAACAGTAATTTTTCTCTTCAAACTGGTAGTAACTTAGAGTATTTCTGCAATTTGGCTGTCGCTTGACTTTTCTGAAGCCCGATTAAAAAAATATAATTAGTGCACGATCAAAGAAATGGAAATAAGATCTTGGAGGCTTCAATGTATTGACCCTCAGTCTGATAGATACTTCTCACTTATTCTTGGTTTATGGAGAGGTATTATAAATAATTGATGATGTGTCATGTCAAACGTGTCTACTTGGTTTATGGAGAGGTAATATAAATAAAAGATTATATGTGTCCCGACAAACGTGTCTACGAACCTTAATTGTGAATGCAATTATATCTTAGAGACCTGGGGCCATACTTTCAAAACGCGCTAAGTTAACGTAAGTATTTACGCTCTATTTTCTTGTCTGTGATTGGTGGATTTTGCTTGAAAGGCCGTCAATGATTGGCTGATGAACTTACGATCTCTTAACTTTTTTTTGAAAGTATAGGCTCCTGGTTTTGCCACAGTCACACCTGGTTTTGCTGTAGTCAGAGACTCCCAACAGTGGCAACGCGGCCATCACGAGAGCGTAGAGCCATCCGGCAAGCATGATCTTGCAAGCCATGACCAACTTCAGACGCTTGTTGAGGTTTATGGCGTATGTGATGGCGTACCAGCGTTCTATTGTGATCACAGTCAGGCTAAAGATCGACAACTCCGATGAAAATACCGTCAAAAACCCAGCAATTTTACAGCCTGCACCTGTTGGAATATTAGTGTGTGATAATCAAATGCCTCTATATAGTGTGGGATTTTAGAGACGAAACTATTTTTCGGAAATTAGAATATAAACTGTTAGTAATTTGTCTTATAGCATGATAAATAGGCAGTCTTTTGCACCACAATTGGAAATTTAACGGAGATTATGTTAGCGATACGATAAGTAATAATAACAATCATCACTTGAATCAACTTTAAGGTTCATAAACAACATTTAGTCGTCGATTTCTTCATAAACAATAATTTGTGCTTCCATTAGATAATGCAAATCCCACCATTCTGCCAGTCCACGGCGTAGTTGAAGTATTGCGACACTGTGTGTGCGTCCATAGCTGCGATGATAAGAAGGTACAGTCCCATCATCAGGTCAGCGATCGCTAAGTTCAGCATCAGGAACTTGCTTACGTTCATCCTTGAGTAATGTATGTTTTATATGTAAATAACTCACTACATGAATATGAATTTTGATTTCGTTCATATAGCAGTTACCGCCAAAGTAGCCTTCATATAAATTTTAATCCGAGCAGCCGGAATCCATTTTGCACAAAATTTGTACCACAGATTGGAATAAAAATCACAAAAAATTGAATTTAAAAAATTATGCTGACACCTATTTTGTTACACTACTAATACTATGTCAAAAAATAACCCTTTTTGGCCCACACAAGTATTGAATTTAGTGTTAATCCTGCGGATATTTCATGTTACTTGAATGCATCATTGTGCTCTGTAAAGCTGACATTATTGATGATAATAACTCACCTGAACCTCCAGGACCCGAGCACGACAATAACGGCCGTGTTGCCCACGACGGCCGTGACTACGACCGCCCACACGGCCACGCGTAGCCCCACGTTGCCCATGATGTCCTCGCAGGGGTTGAAGGCGTTGGGCGCTGGAGTACAATGTACGTCCGGGGCTTGTAGGACGAACTGCCCGCAGTTGAACTCGAGGGTCTGGTTGTGAACGGGTGCCTGTTGTTGAGAACATAGAGTATTATTTATCGTTGTTGGGCGCTGGAGTACAATGTTTATGTAAAGCTGACGTGATTGATGATAATAACACACCTGAATCGCCAGGACCCGAGCACGACAATAACGGCCGTGTTGCCCACGACGGCCGTGATGACGACCGCCCACACGGCCACGCGTAGCCCTACGTTGCCCATGATGTCCTCACAGGGGTTGAAGGCGTTGGGCGCTGGAGTACAATGCACGTCCGGGGCTTGTAGGACGAACTGCCCGCAGTTGAACTCGAGTGTCTGGTTGTGAACGGGGGCCTGTTGATGAGAACATAGAGTATTATTTACAGGGGCCTGTTGATGAGAACATAGAGTATTATTTACAGGGGCCTGTTGATGAGAACATAGAGTATTATTTACAGGGGCCTGTTGATGAGAACATAGAGTATTATTTATCGTTGTTGGGCGCTGGAGTACAATGTACGTCCGGGGCTTGTAGGACGAACTGCCCGCAGTTGAACTCGAGGGTCTGGTTGTGAACGGGGGCCTGTTGTTGAGAACGTAGAGTATTATTTATCGTTTATTAGAAGCTGAATATTAAATATATTATCTTTATTTTATTGCTTTCGTTTAGTTCAAATGAAATTATTAACAGTTAAGCGTCGGTTAGCAAACTGGTAATAAGTTGACAGTAATGAGACACGTATTATTTTAACAAAAATTTATCAAGATCATTTTCAGAAATAATTCACTCAGGAGCATGAGTGAGGGCACTGTCGAGATAGCGATGGACTTTTTACCATTGTAAGGGTGACTCTGACCAGATAAGCCTGTTAAAGTGTCACTATTTGTTTATTTTGTCCCATTGCCATTCTGACTGCATGTCCGAAGACATTAACTGGCTTTCTTAAATCACTAACGGCAAATAACGATAAGTTCATTTTGTTCATACATACAAAGTGTCATTATTTGTTTATTTTGACCCATTGCTGTACTGACTGCATGTCCGAAGACATTGACAGGCTTTCTTGAATCACTAACAGCAAATAACGATAAGTTCATATTGTTCATTTATACAATTCGCAGATAGCTGCAACGGAACGCGCAAACATTCATAGGTTTTGTGTTGGTCTTTGTTGTGTGGATGAGAAAAAACGAGAAAAATTTGATTAACTAGTTACAAGGTACAGAAAACTTTTCACGCAATATTTTTATAATAGGGTTCGAGATCTAACAAGTACGTAACTCGTGACGTATCGTCACACGTATAAAATTGATTATCTTGCGGATTTTGTTATGCATCTTATAAGTCGTATTAGCTCGTGATTTGTACAATTGACATAAATTGTTAGTTGCACCAGCCTGCACAATAAAATCTGTTCGTGCGTTTGTTGAAAAGACAGGCACTTGATACACGTAATATTTACTGGAAACGTAAAAATAATACAATGTTAATCTAGTGAATTACGTGATGCGGCTCTAAGCTGTGCGAAATTAAACAGTGGATTGCAAGTGAAATAGGCTCAGATTTTTGTCCTAGTTAGTTACTATATTGTCGCAATTTATGGCACGTCCAATTCAGTAATTCATAATAGTGTTTCTAGGTATGATTTAAAATTTATGCGTCACTTTGCATGCATCACGTTTATATTTCACTTATACTATTACAAACATCAGGTTAGAAATTGTGTGTTTAAACTTATAATTTGAAAATAGCGAATACACGTGCCTATAAATATCAAGTTATTTTGTTTTGAGCTTCGAGAGTCATTAATGCTGAAATCCATGATAAATATTTTTAGTTGATAATAATCCGTTGTCGAGTCTCGGAATAATTCGAGACTCGACAACATATTTGAATAATTCGAAGTAAGATTGAAAAAATAAGGTTAATTTTCGCTGTAAATTGAGCGCATGAATATAAAATAAAAAACAGCACTCTATTTCGAAATAATATTGCATACAGAGCCTATCAAAAACATTCATCCGATTTCATAAAGTCATAACTTTTATTGTCCGACCTTCTATTGGAAAAAAGGAAACATTCGAATTTGATGTGATTCAATGAAATCATTGCGGTGGACAATGAATTTCATTTTAACTCAAAGAATTCGTAATCAGGTAATCTGTAAAATTAACATTTTATCTATTTCTTTCTTGCTGCGGTTTATTAAAAACTCCGATCATGTTCCTCCGCTACTAGATGCAATGGATAATATGAAGATTGCATATAAACTGCTATGGAAGCTGGAACTCAGGACAAATTCGATGAAAGTGTTGGACGAATTTAACTCTCATATCGACGTATGCTATGCCTCTCAAAGTCGACGTATTACAAATATTTGATAAGATGGGATATAACTTTTTTAGTTTCCTTTTCAGGCAGTAAGAATGTATTGGTTTCATGTACATTATATTAGTGTTCAAACTATTGACATGATAAATCGCACAAAGGGATGGTTTCTTTGATATATCCTGTTTTGTTTATTTAGAAGATCAATTAAATAGTCAGAAGCAAATTAATCCACGCGATGAACAAATCGACCTTAGGTTATCATTCACTTAAAAATATTTTGCCCTCGTACTTTAAAACACAAATTTTTTCATTTCATGCGTGCACCGCTGCCCGATGCTGACGCGTGTCTGTGCTCGTCAGAACTTCTATGGGATTTCGCGTTCCTATATATAGGGGGATTGTTCCTGAGTGCCCCACCGCTGAGCTCGCGGTGTCTGACTGCAGATCTCGGTTGTAACGCTGTCTCTTTCGAGCCAGTTTCAGCGGGCTGGACATCTGAGGCCTTCCGCCCCTTGTGGGTGATGAATAATTGAGACCTTCCACCTCTATGGTGATATTCACCTTGACTTTCGGTGCGAGATAGCCAAATAGCTGAAGCGCTAGTAAACATTTGGCCACTAAACTAACTAACTAACGCTACTAGACACTGAGGCTGAAGCAGCTAGTACTCCACACACATGAAAAGTAACTCGAGAATTACAATCGGCTAACATTATCTGCTAAGATTGGATCTATTATTATCGGCTAATATACTATTTGTTGCTACAGATCTAATATAGCCTTACCACCCACCATATTGAGATGAAGGCGAGGCCGTTGATGAGCAACAGTGCTATGAGGTACCCGATTGCTGTCGCGCTACTCGCATCCATAGGTAAGCATATGCTGAAAAAAACAATGAATAGAGATAAATAAAACATATGTGTATAACTTATGTTTTGAGAACATTGATCATAAGGCATCAATTGTAAATATTTACACGTTATGGAAATTAAAGAATAAAGAGGCAGGTACAAGGAGAAAAAATTGTCCCTTAGTTTCGTATTGACAAGCTCCATGTGCCTAACAAAGCTATATTGACAGTGTACTACTGTATAGCAGGCTGAAAATATTCTCATTACTTGCAAGTTTTAGACCGCTGATCAGCTCTAACGTAGGCGTTACATTTTTGGTAGCCGTCAGTTAAGCTGTTGATCCTGACTCGCGTATTGGGGCCTTACTTTCAAAACTTGCTAAGTGAACGTAAGTACTTACGCCCTATTTTCTTGTCTATGATTGGTAGATTTTGCTTGAAAGGCCGTCAATGATTGGCTGATGAACTTACGATCTCTTATAGGCTACACTTATATAACCTTAGTTAGAAACAATAATTTCCCTTTTGACGACCTTGCAAACTGGTATTAACTTATGGTCTTTCTGCAATCTGGCTGTCTCTAGATTTGTCTGAAGCCCAATTAAAAAAAAAGTTTTGCACAGTCGACGAAATGTAAAAAAGATGAGGGTCAATGTAGTGGCCCTAAGTCTAATAGATACCTCTTACTTGTTCTTTGTTTATGGAGAGGTAATATAAATAAGAGATTATATGTGTCCCGTCAAACGTGTCTACGAACCTTAATTGTGAATGCAATTATATCTTAGAGCCTCACACCTTGTTTTGCTGTAGTCAGAGACTCCCAACAGTGGCAACGCGGCCATCACGAGAGCGTAGAGCCATCCGGCAAGCATGATCTTGCAAGCCATGACCAATGCCCGCAGTTGAACTCGAGGGTCTGGTTGTGAACGGGTGCCTGTTGTTGAGAACATAGAGTATTATTTATCGTTGTTGGGCGCTGGAGTACAATGCACGTCCGGGGCTCGTAGGACGAACAGCCCGCAGTTGAACTCGAGGATCTGGTTGTGAACGGGTGCCTGTTGTTGAGAACATAGAGTATTATTTATCGTTGTTGGGCGCTGGAGTACAATGTACGTCCGGGGCTCGTAGGACGAACAGCCCGCAGTTGAACTCGAGGATCTGGTTGTGAACGGGCGCCTGTTGTTGAGAACATATAGTATTATTTATAGTTTATTAGGAGCTGAATAATAAATATATTAGCTTTATTTTATTGCTTTAGTTCAGTTCAAATGGAAATTTCATCACTTAATAGTTGGTTGACAGGCTGTTAAAAGTTTACAGTAATGAAACACGTATTATTAAAAGAAAAGTGGATCACGATCATTTTAAAAAATAACTCACTCAGAGACATGAGCGAGATATTGTCGATATAGCGATGCACTTTTTACCATTGCGAGGGTGACTGTGACTAGTTGAGCCGGTAAAAGTGTCACTATTTGCATAATAGGACCTCTTGCTTTTCTGACTGTATGTCTGAAGACATACACACGCGTTGTTATTTCACTAACAGCAAATTACTATAAGTTCATATTGTTCCTTTTAAAATTTGAAGATAGCTGCGACAGAACGCACAAACATTCATGAATTTTGTATTGGTTTTTATGATGTAGAAGAGAAAACACGAGAGAAATTTGATTAAATAGTTTTAAGGTACGGTACTGATAACTTTTCAAGCCGTACTCTTATATCAGGGCCCAAAATCTAGTTAGTACGTAACTCGTATTGTACCGTCATGTTGTGAATCCTGCGTATACAAGTGGTGTTAGCTCGTGATTTGTACAATTAAAACGGAGTTTCAGCAGTTTACCCAATAAAAATCTGTTCATGCATTTGTTGCAAATACAGGCATTTGATCTACGTATTATTTACTGGAAACGTGAAAATAATACAATGTTATTCTAGTGAATTAATTGGTGCGACTATACGCTGTGCTAGGTTAACAAATGGATTAGAAGTGAAACAATGATTCAGGTGAAATAATCTTGAATTTTTGTACTCATTATTTTCGAAATGGTCATAATTTATGGCACGTTCAATTTAATAAATAATTCATGACACTGTTTCTAAGTATGATTTCATATTTATGCATCCGTTTGCATGCATCACGTTTATATTTCACTTATATTACACACATGAGGTTAGAAATTGTGTGTTTGAACTTATACTGCGAAAACAGCGAATACACGTGTCTATTAGAATTACGTTATTTTATTTTTTATTTCCGAAAGTCGTTAATGCTGTATTCAATGAGGAATATTTTTAGTCGATATTGATTCGATGTCGAGTCTCAGCCAACAAAACATTTCTGAATAATTCGAAGTGAGATTGAAAAATGAGTTTAATTTTCAATGTAAATTTAACGCGCATATATAAAAAATATCTCATTTAAAATCAAAATATTGTATACAGAGCGTTCAAAAACATTCATTCGATTGCATGAAGTCATAACTTTTAGTGTCGGACATTCTTTTAGAAAAGAGGAAACATTCGAATTTTACGTGTTTCCATAAAATCGTTAACAATGAATTTCATTTTCAATCAAAGAATTCGTAATCAGTGAATCTGCAAAATGTACATTTTATGTATTTCTTTCTTGCTGCGGTTTATCAAAAACTTCGTTCATGTTCCTCCGCTACTAGATGCAATGGATAATATGAAGATTGCATAAAAACTGCTGTTGAAGCTGTAACTCAGGACAAATTCTCTGAAATTTTGGGACGAATTAAACTCTCATATCGACATATGTTATGCCTCTCAATGTCGACATATTAAAAATGTTTGATAGATGGGATTTAACTTTTTTAGATTCCTTTTCAGACAGAAAAAATGTATTGGGTTTAAATATATTATATTAGTGTTCGAACTGTTGACATGATAAATCGCACAAAGGAAATGGTTTCTTTGATATATATATTTTTTGTCTGTTTAGAAGATTAATTAAATAGTCAGAAGCAAATTATACTCCACGAGATGAACAAATCGACCTTAGGTTATCATTCACTTAAAAATATTTTGCCCTCGTACTGTTTTACCACAACAAACAATTATTAGGAGCTTTCATTTTAAATTTCTTTTATTGATCCTGAATGAACAAACGTGAATTTTTCTTTATGTATTTAAGAGTTGAAAAAAATTAGGCTGTAATCTACTCACCGCGTTTGTATGAAATGTGCCGGGGAATGAATGGAAGTCCGCGTGTGATGAACTTCCGGCGTCAAGTGATGTGTTGGGTCTTAGCATCAGCCCCACGGTGGGTGGGAGACCAGGCAGCAAACTCATCTGTTGGTCAACAGGAACAAGTGTTTATCTCTTAACTAAATCTGATGTATTAAAGTGTTTTTCAACTGTGAATAGAAATGGGATTACAAATTAAAAATAATTATTTAAAAATAGCGTTTAATCTATAATAACGCTAAACATACTTTTTATGCTAAGAAATTTTTTGCAGCTGAATAGGAATGAATTTTATAATGCCTAGCAGTTTGTTATTTTGTGTGACAATTACAAATTGCGCCAAAAATGTATAATTACATTAGCTTAGGTCAAAAAAATTAGCATGCAAAAGCGCTAAAGATTTTTTGACGCAATTCGAAAATATTTTGCAATTTAACTACACAAACATTGGAAATAGATCATACTTTTCAGTCTTAAAAAATTAAATCGGGTGGCAATAGTTTGTCTGCACTACGAGAAAAATTGAAAATTTTGTGTCAATGCTTCTGCAGATAAATTTCCATCTTTTCAAACTTACATGATTTTCAGTGTCATTTAGAGTCCCAAAATTTCGAAAGCCAAGAGCAAACTGCTGATGCCTGTTGCTTCCATCACGGAAAAAGTTCGAGTTCTGGATTTCAAACGCACTTTTGAAGCGAGACTCGATTCCAGGGCCTTGATTTCTTTTGAATTTTGGAAGTGGAAAACTTCGAGACGGTGGAAGAAATGAACCGTCTTGAAGTATAGAGCTGGATATTCGGCTGCTAGGTGTCGTTAATCCAACTACATTTTCCAGCTGATCTGGAAAAATCTCAAAATTGTGCAGTGGACCCCAAGAACCAAAATCGATTCTAGAAAAATCATCAAAATGTTCACTGAAAGGAAGCGGCGATGAAGTCAGCAAATACTTCTCTTTGACTGAACGAGGACTCGAAGAGGTAACTTTTACCGAAGACATCGCAAAATTTTTATCAGTCGTTTCCGAGGCAAGATCGGGGAATTGAGTAGACGTTTCCTTCCAGTTACCATCGTAAGAAGACTCAATGAAGCCACGACCAAAACTGCCTTCCGTTGAGAATAGACCGCGGTCACTTGAACTGTAATGATAATTCTGAAAGTTGATAAGATTTCGATCAAATTGATTCTTGTCCGACAAATCGTCAGAAATAAATTTATTCTCCCAGAAGGAATCCGTTTCCAAATTTTTGTCCAATGAGAACCTGCTATCACTAGAGCTTCGTTCAGTCCTAAGCGTAGATTTATCTTGGCTTGATTCTTGAGCATGAAAATTCTTGCACTCTTCGCTTTCCACGCGACTGATCAACTCCTGTGAATATAAAATATTACTGAAACTCACGAAGAATTAGAAATCAATAACACAAGTTATCAAAAATATAATTAGCAATGTGCAAAATGTTTCAGATTATAGATTATATAATACAACCTAACCAATTTATCATTTATTTCAATGGATAATGATATGTATTATTCGCATGCATGTTCCTTTTAAACATGATGTTCATTTCGTAATTGAAAAAATCCATCTCCCATCCACAAATTTTGTCCCATCGGAGCCACACGATCAATTCGAGTATCACTCAGACGAATATCATTGTATTAAAACAAATATACAATTTACAATTAATGTAATGGGATATATTTAACGCTCATTATCATACAGCACATATGTAGAATAGTAAGCAACCTCTATTAGGTTAAACTCTACGGTATTGACACCCAATATTTAAGTATCTGTGCTCTCACCAGCTTGCTTCAATTATTATTGAAAAATAGGATATTGAAATCTTGCAATTGAAACCTAACAATTAGATATTTTTTCTTGCCAAAACTGGCAACCTAAAGAAAAATCAAGAACTAGCAATAACAGGGAGTTATTACGTCATGATCGTTGAGTTATCAACTTCGATATTGAAATTCATGGCTTCATGGCCCAATTATTTCTCATATCGGATAATAAAACCTTGTTCTTCGTAGCCAATATTCTGCTATCAGTCTATGTAGACTGAAAAATTGAATAGAAGAATTTATGTCACTAATATAATCCTGCGTTCACACAACTCTAAATTATTTGCCTACACTCACCCTACGTGGGTCGAAAATATTAATTTATTTCACTGAAAAATCCCGTGATGGCTCAATTACTATTTAAATGCTTCCACTCATTATCTCTAGATTGAAGCTATGCCTTTTTATTACAAAAAAATCCTAAGTTTACACAACTCTCAACTAAATACCTTCACTTGTCAAGTGTGATTTGAATATAAACATAAATGTAACTTATAAAATTCCGTGACAACACAATTTACAATTAAATGACTGCCTTGACTCACTCTCTGATTTGAATATATGCATTTATGTAACTTATAAAATTCCGTGTCAACACCATTGACAATTAAATGACTGCCTTGACTCACTCTCTGATTTGAATATATGCATTTATGTAACTTATAAAATTCCGTGACAACACAATTGACAATTAAATAACTACCTTGACTCACTCTGTGTGATTTGAATATATGCATTTATGTAACTTATAAAATTCCGTGACAACACCATTGATAATTAAATGACTGCCTTGACTCACTCTCTGATTTGAATATATGCATTTATGTAACTTATAAAATTTCATGATAACACAATTGACAATTAAATGCCATGACTCACCTGGTGTTTATAACGTCTAGAAGGATCGTGCTGCTGAGGGAACTGGAAGGCACAGCAGTGATGGGGGTACGTGAGGCGGGCTGTTCTCAGGCTCTTTAAAGCGTACACTGACGGGAATATTTTTAGCGTCGGAGTGTCTTCCAGCAGTAGCTCTTCCAGACCAGACAGCCCGAGCGTTGGTAGCCACGTGATGGAAGTGAAGGATAAGTCTCTGGAGAGTGATCACTTCCATCAACTGTCATTTATAGGTTAGAATTTTAATAAAATTGTGGAATATTGTATGTGGCGGATATTCTGGTGCAGATTAGTAATTTTTATTTATTTATGAAACGGTAATGCTGGGCGTCGCGAATTTAATAATTTGGCGGATAATTGCTCTTCATTCTTCGTAACGAACAGAATCTCAGAAAAATATTTTGTTCCTCACATGGAAAACGATGAAAATTATTCTCTTCATTGAACAATAGAAAGGGATACAGTCTATGTCCAATTAATTTGAATCTATAATTTGGCCAAAAAAGGAGTGGAGAAATTGTCAATAAGCCTTTAGATAATTATGTAGAGAACGGCATACAATATTCCATCAGATAAGTGAAATAACTAATTATAGATTCGATTGGATTTGTTGGATTCTTCATAACTTACCTTTTAAAGTTACATTGTGCAACACCAAAATATTGAGAAATCATAAATTAAGGTGAATCTATGCATGCAATAGATCCAGTTTATCATATCCTAGAGTGCACCGGGCAGAAGTACAGTGTAAATAAATTATTACTGTCTCTAGTACACGCATTGCGGTATATACTCCATTCTTTTATTTGCATTACATCAGTTATGGTCATATACGACTTGTCAATAAGTAAAATGAGTGAGATTCACCTGAGGTTTTTATTTGAAACAAATTTCATATGAAACTGGGGGTATTATATATATGATTGCATAAAGAACTGTGCAACGTATTAATTTCCCTGTGCGATAAAATCGTAGATATCTGATAAATATTTCCGATTTGGTTATCTAAATAAATTGACTATATTGCAAATAGAGATTAATTTATGGACCATAACAATTATTTATAATAGTGACAACAGAATTGATAATATTGCAGGTGGAGGTTGATTAATTTACAAACTTGACACCATAATACTTAATTATAATAATGACAATATATGAGAAAGACACTCACAGAGTGCGGAGGATCAGCACTCCATCGAACGCGTTCTCATGAAGTTCTCGGAGCTCATGATTTCCTTTCAGGCTTCTGAAAACAAATTACCGTGAACTAAATCAGGTTTTAACCGTTCGTTTTGACGCCCAATTTAATTTAGTTTAGTTTTAATTAATTTAGTTAGTAAACGGAAGAGAAGACTAATTAATTCCAATAATGAATTAATATCAAATGTTCAAAATACATTCAAATACAATCTAATGAATGCATCAAGAAATCTTTCCTCGAGGAATTTAAGCCACAAACAGTAGTTTTTAATCAATTTAATAATTTAAATAAACTTATCCTGAAAGTTTCAGGTTGAGAGTTGGTAATCGGCCCAGCTGAAATAATGAGGCAGTGGAACCCTAAGTTAAACTTTTATTATAAAAAAATATCTCGTTTGTTCTTAATAACGAACTCGTGAACTCGTGTGTATTCTTGTTAGTAAGTTGTCAATTTAATTATCGTTGACGGAGTCAAAGTCTGTAATTGCACATCGAGGAACGGGTCATTGAACTTCGAACATTCTGAACACACAGAGTAATTGGCAGCCTGATTAAATTTAATGCTGACTGCGATTTTTTTATTTTGGATGTTATGAAAAACATGGGATATTTTTTCCACCGATTATAAAATTCATTGTACTTTTATTATATAATGTGCTATTATAATATTATTATGTTATTATATATTTATTATATAATAAATTTTATTATATAATGTGTCTTAATAGATAGTATATTATTTATGTTTGGAAATGTACTGTAATTATAAAGTTAATCAAAAGGTCAATTGTAACAATCACTTAATTATTATAATTTATTATTCTATATTTATATATAATTGAATATTTTTGAAATATAACTTGAAGCATAGCAATAAAATCGAAATTTACGCCATGTTGAAATCAAGATTTTTAAAAAGTCGCTCTATCGTATAGATCAAGTGTTGTACCATTTATCGATTCTAAATGCGAATCCACATAATTGCCACATAGGAAAGTGAAAAACAATTTTTCGATGCGCAATACCCCATAGAAGATATATGGATTCGACCCCATAGAAGATATATGGATTCTATTCCTTCATCAACAAAGCAGAAGGCGTGAGTTTTTCAAACCTGCTACCACTTTTATGTCTTGCCAACTGACTGGGAGCGTCATTTTTAAACCATGACTGTTGTCGCCTTAGATAAGTTCAACTGAACAACACAATCGTTGATTGTTGGAGAAAATGACATTGTTGATAACGACTTGTGTAATTAACCTTAGAAAAAAGGGTGTCGTGGAAATTCATATGATGAGCGTATAAATAAGGTATTGTCAGAGAGAACTTCCACATTACACCACAATAGTGAATTGCTTGCCACAGAGATATTGTTGACAATGGCTTTCGTAGGTAACTTTTGAAAATAAGGTGAAATCTACGTTAATGACATTATTTTTTAACTAGTGTCTGTTATGTGAGAAATTTTCAGCTGAACCATACAATGGTGAAGCGCTGGATACAAGACATTGTTGAAAGAGATTTTTATTTGCATCGGAGCAACGAATTTCGTAATAAACCTCGAAGCAAGAGGCGCTTTCGAAATCCACGTTAACAAACATTTCAAGTATTCCATAAATAGTTACATTTCGTTTATATTGTTGGACTCATTTAATGAGCTCGAGGCTTGCAGCTAAAGGTTGTTATTGTAACTAATTGTAACGCAGTGAGTAATAATTAGCATTATTACCCACTGCGACATTAAGTTAAAGATAATTTTGACACTTATTAGGAACAGAGGTCAGCAGAAGTTCAACTTCTAACCAATGTCTGGCCACGTCTATGAAAAATAATACTTGTAAAAAAACTTCTTTGAATGATGGTCCAAAATTGTATTGGTTTTCTACGAGAACTCACTTTAATTTTCACTTAATTGAAGGATTTATATCTAATTTAGTAATTTCTATTTATTTTACAAAGTCTTAGCATATTTTGATACATTTTTCTTTTCCGTAAATTACTCTCTTCTAAAATATAAATAACAACACATTCACAAGAGATATATGAGAAAAATTGTCTTTTACTTTTTAATATTTTCCCTCATGCATTTTTTATAAAAGGCAACGTCTCAGAACCGCCATGTGAATGAATGTGAATTAAAGACGACGTCGAGGTTCATTTAATTACGCTATTGCACGACTGTATTGCTAGTAAAAACTAGTCAGTAATAGGAGCTATACCTGCGTCGATAATAACGTTAGAAACAAACTTCTTTAATAAAACAGAAGGAATCATACGAACATGGCTGTGGATGTTTAAGACAACCAAACAATTCAGATTATTTGCAATTAATTTTTAATTTAAACACAAATTGCTTGACATTGAGAATAGGCAGTTGCGACTCATCAGATGGAATTCAATTTCACGATGGACGACCAGAAAATGCTGCAAACCATGAGGTTTGTAGAATTAATTGATTTTACGATGAAACATTAATTTTATTTGATTTTACGAAAAAGCATCAATTGATTTTACCAGGTAGTTGCATCTAGAAGCAATTTTGCTATTAATATTTTATTAGTTGGAAACATTATTTTCTAAATTATCAATTATAAACTTCCAAGACAGATTATTAAGCGCCAAGAAGTGATAAAAGTTTTAAAATACTTACAAGGTTCCAATTTGAGAGCCAGCGAACGCTCTTTCACCAACCACCTTGATGTGGTTGTAGCTAAGAAGTCTGATGTAAAGAAACAGTATTTGATTTTCAACACAATAAAATTGCATCATTAAAACTTTTAGTATAGTTGATGGTATATATTGGCTTCGTCAATAATAAAAGAGGACCTATAGTGTGCTTAGCCTTCGCTTCTACACATTTCATTTTGTGAATGACGTGTGCAATCTTAATCTAATTTAATCTCTTAATTCAATCTTAATATAATCTCTGCCTATCTTATTTTAGCAAACAAAAGTAGTAATATATTTAATTCAGCTTTCGGCGACGGCTAAACTTTCCTGCATCGAAAATTTTGGCAGTCAGAGAAGATGGGCCTTTATACGAAGTCATCAAAATGTATATCGAACGTGGCTTACCACTGATGATTATTTCGAAATATTTTCCTTAAGTGACATGATGCTGTTCATCGCCAAGAGTCAAAGTGAATAATGAAGGGATCCTACATTGATTAGGATGAATGAAAATATCTCAAGCTTCAAATTAAATTTTTTCTCAATTTTATGGCGGTTCAAATCTAGCGCCTGCTTTGTTATTAAATTATTAGGTAAATAATTAATGAAAAATTAAATAATTAATGAAAAAATTTTATAAATTGACTGGATGCATAGGATCGCCAATCTTTCTCTTTCACCGAATGGGATCTTTAACTTCACCCTAAAAATAATCCATCAATCCACCTTACCCTAGAAAATAATACATGAATTCTCTTTCCATTGAGGCATAAACTATTCATTTTGAATTTATGCTTAAATAAATTCGAATTTAATAATAAATTGGGTCCTTTATTTAAAATAACCCTTTAATTTATATTGCTTGCAGTGATTTACTTTTCAAATTCATTAGATTCATGAATGATAAAAGTAAAAGCTAAACTATCATCACGTACAATTTTAACAGAGTACGAAAATTTGCAACCACCAAAAACGAGCTGTGTAACGATAGGCTTGCTTGTGTTAAAGTTCGCTGAAAATATAAATTTACGATTGATTGACAGATATTCATTCACTTCATCACAATACCAGAATATAAGAAGCTTTGTAACGTGTTGAAAAAAATGATGATCAGTTTTGGTGAAACAAATTCTACGTGGCAAAGGATAATTTAAGAATGAAACGGAATAAAATTTAAAAATTGTTGTGTTATCTGTCGTGAATTTAACAGCGTATGATGAATATAATGTATTTGTATATAATATATAATATAGCAATATATAATAATATATTAATAATTGATTAGGTAATATAATTTACTTATGTATGTATGACTTACAGCTGCTCTGTGCTGACATCGAACGACGATGGCAGGATTTCCGATATTTTATTGTAGTCCAAGTCACTGAAAATTGAGAAGCTTGAACATCGTAATTATAATAATTGGGTTAGACATAAAGTTATTGTATTTAAGACGGATAATACCTATGTATTTCGGTATTCACAACAATGTATTCTAATGAATATTGTATTATTAAATGGTATATGGTAATATACAGAGTCATGGTATTCACAAAAATGTATTTTAATGAATTAAATTATATTTGATTTTTATAAATATATATATAAATTTTTACTTATAGTAAAAATTTTCGATTAAAAATCACAGCGCACGTAAGGCTATTGAAATCATAATCATGAGACAGCACTAATTATTTATTCATTTCATACCCCAGGAAGAACCAAGTTTGAATCTTCCTGCAAACCTGTCTCATAAGACGAGAAAACTTCAATACTGTTGCGCATGAAGTAGATAAATAAGATCAGTCTATAAGTAAAAGAAAATTATAAGAGTATAATCAATAATATAAGATAATAAATCAAGGTACGGTATTATATAGTAAAAAATTGCGAAACCTCAACAATATAAATTAAGTATTAAGAATACAGCGGCGGTCCTTGCACCTACGCCGCACTTCGTCTTAACTTTGGGCTCGCAGGGAGCTGATATCGGGCTGAAAATAGATCCTTTATCGCAGTCGATCGCCTTTGAAATATAAAATTAAAATAAGAAAAAGAGCTTTGATTCGCGAATGTGTAATTATTATCAAATAGCAAATGTTCACGTAATAATTACATAGCTATCAACACGTGCCTAGTATTTACTACCACTTTTCTCATTGAATGCAGTGGACATAACTGTCAAACCATTATTATCTGACTTATATGTAGATTTTAAAGGCAAAAATTTCGTTTTTTTGTTTAAGCAATGACGTACGAGTCTGAAAGAAAATTGGGTCTAGAATACTAATTAAATAGATTCAAAAGAAGATAACAATTACGTAGCCGATAATGAGAGCAGCTAAGGTTTATTAACTAACCAAGTAACTGTTAATGAGAAATTACTGCATTGGAAGTCAGTGGTTAATCTCACACATGGACAATCCCTTAGGGACGTTAAATGTGCAATTTAAGGAGCTGAACCTTCAGATCACTCATTTACAATCGTTATTGCAGCCTCATGAAACCTAGGAAAGCTAGTTAATATAGGGCGTTTGTATGGGTGCTAGTGTGTTTTCTGGATAATTAAGCTATATATTTTACAAAAGCTCTTGTTTATTTAGATAATAATTAATCAGCTAGATTACAATTCGATGATTGTTAATTCAACTTTAATAGCCAAAAAATTTATTTACTCCAGTAAATTAGAAGTGAATAAAACATCCGAAAATTTTGTTTATTCTCCAGCATCTCATTAAGTTGTTTGCATGTTCCATCAAATTTGTTGATTATATTATAATTATCGACAAACTATATATAATATTTGCCTAGCTCAAGACTTTGAAGTCACGTGGGATGAAAGGAAATGCCGAGGAAATACATTCTCAACACTTTATAATGATTTTGCAACATTAGACGGCAAGGCTAAACAAATTACTCTTCCAATTAAATTTCGATTTAAACTTCTGTCTTAAAACTTGTGGATAAACGAAGTACACAAGCTACGAAGTCCTGTTAGATGAAGGGCTTTGACCTCGACTACGCTTAATCTTGATCCTTACTTTAGGTCATTAAAAATTTTTTCATTTCTGTAGCTAATATTTAAGTGACCAAGAATTGGAGGTAGAATACGTGTAGAAACAGATGTAAGTGAAGGGAAATTAAGTAACGGTTTCTCCTCACTTTAAAGGAAAATAGTGAAGGATGTGCGAACACGTTCAATTTTTGCCCTGACCGTAGATTTTCTTAGTGAATGTAAAATGAATTCGTTGATGTAAGGAGCTGATTTAGCAAAATGGCTTAAAATCATCATTATTATTATTAGTTGCAGCAGTAAATATGGAACAAACATGCAACGATATTGAATAAGTAAAATATTTGATAGTAACACTTAACAGAGGGAATTTAAAGTTGACGGAAAATTTGCAATAAAAATTTTACTCAACGTATCAAGTTGATCGTAACGTCAATTTTAGGATTAATTTAATATTGAATCAAGCGATACTGTACTCGAATGACGTAAAGTGAAGTTGTCATTGATCTTTCAGAAAAAGCCATTGATATTATGTTGATCATTATTTATTTGAAGGAACGACTTCTGTACAGGAATATTTACCGAGCTAGCAGCATACATTAATAAATGAAATTCTGCAAAAATATCGTTCATTGCGTAATAAGTCAAAAAGTTTAAAGTGATTGAAACAAGAGTTCGTTGGAATATCAAAATGTCGCTGGTGCTACCGAAATTTTATTTGCAAAACATTTTTATATTCTTATCGTTGACACGGAACTTGAATAAACTTACTCCAAGTCTCAAGTCTGGCAAAAGTAAACGAAAATGTATTGAAATCAGAAGCCTATCAAAACGAAACCCACATTAGGATGATCTTCTATAATCTTACGTAGATTTACAGAAATTTATCAATTACGTTCGGTCACAAAATAAATAGCACATCTATGTCGTTATATTAATTATTCTATGGTATATAATTTTTCATGGCGCATGTTGAATCTTGGATTGCTATGCAGGATCTACCCGACCTCAGTTCGCAATTCCGGTGCTCACAACGAGTTAAACTCTTCTGCTTCGATCTGACTCCGAAAGATCTTGTTATAATAATTACTCAGTCGTCGAGGATACAAAACTGGTTTACACTAATTATTTACTTTATTTCACTCAAATTTTCAAGCCTCATAAAAATTGACCATCGAGTTTATGAATGTCACTTGCAACGTTAAAATTTTGCCATCGTGAAAATCAATTTCGACTGGAAATAAGAGCTACGGGCGCTAAACTGGCTACGAAACGCGCTACACTCGGAAATTTCGAGCGAACAAAGAAATATTAAGCTATCAAATATCTAACATAATTTCGACCACACAAACTCCACAATACAACGAAATCAAATCTCACAGCGCATATAAAAAGAATATGTATTTTGGCAAACCGGACTTGTGCGGATTCCATCATCTAAGCCAGCCTGAAGAAACTTGCCAGGATAACTTATTTTTAACTTTACCGACTGTCATAAAGCTGGAAAGGAAGTTCATGACCAAAACTTCGTCGACGTCGAAAACAGGTGCATGGTTTGGGCATTAGAAGAGGTCCGCAATTCAGTGCTAAGTTATACCAGGTAAGATTCATTTTTTTATTATATTGATAATATATATTCCAGCAGATGTTGATCTAATATCATGATAATGTAATTTTCAACAATCATCTCGGACGCTGAAAAACTTTTCAGTTCACGCACCCGGAGTCAATTTTAAACTGGCGGACAATAGAAGCAAATGCTCGTAAACTTTATAAATAGCAGCCCAGAATGCATAAACAATAATTTATTTAACGGGACACATAAACATGCAAGCCTAAATTATCTTCCTCATGATTAACAGGTGCTTTGTATCCACGCACTGTTGTGACTAATGCGAGGCTCACTCTAACTTATGAAGCTGTGTTCGAATAACCAAATATTGGAAAATTAAATAATCATAAATAGTCGTGATTTAATTTGAATAATTTCAGACTAATATAGTTGAACTGCATTTTATCGTGTTTTTTTTCAGATTAGAATAAATGTGAGCAGTTTCCTTGCCCATTGTGAATGATTCGAGAT